TTTTATCAGCGAGCGGTTACTTTACAGGAGCTATTAAACCAGGCCTTGCACTTCACTATAATACTACCATAGAGAAAAAGTGGAATGCTACAAGATAGTCTTTCCTGCTACCTGCTTTCCATATAGTCTAAATACATCCTACATAAACACAGCATCATACATGGAGAGATTGCTCTGCTACACACTTGATGTGACAGACTGCAACAAACACATAAAACATGCACAGAACAGTCTTTGTGTGAGCATGAGTGTATATTTCCGATCCTGTACTACAAAACAGTACAAGGGCAATTCAGTATTTGGTTACACACCTCCCTATAAATACACACACCCTTTCGGTAAAAATAGGCTCCGTTCAGTCGACTGGATTCCTTCCATGAAACACGTGGTTGCATCACAATATAGGGAAGAGCTTCTCCGTATCCAGCAAATTAACTCTCTGGCCTTGGCTAACATAATCCATTGGGTCACGGAGACAAGTTCAGTGGAAGATGCCATACATAACATGGGCTGCTGTGTATGTGTTGTGAACAAATGATTGTGGAAAACACAACAGAAGACAATATGAGAAGATATAACAACATACCTGTATACTTTTAATCCCCGCTCTGCAGTAGTACCTTTTGACATCCACATCGATTTCAGTGTTACCAACATAACTGTAAAGTAAAAGACAAACATTGAAAGCAGCAGCACAACCAGGAGGATCAAAAGACATCAAGAAGACTCATGACAGTGACTTCACCTGATCTGAAGGTCCATGATGATCTGCCGTTTGTCCACATTCTCAGAGTAAACTTTGACCCCATTGATCCTGAGAGGCTGTGATAAAGATGAATGCAGATGTCCCGTCAGGGGGGAGGGGGGAGGCAGGGTGACATTTCTTTAACCAGCATGCATTCTTTCACAGAGCCCTGACTACATCAACTATTTCCATCTGACAGCTGGTCAGCTTTTCCAAAAGGTTTACATTTCTTACGTCAGACTTTCTACTCCTGATGCAATTTGAAGCTTTTTATTGTCAAGCTATGTCTTCAATGAGGAATGAAAGGTGCCACGAACAATATACACAGTTCAGACTGACTAGATAAATATACTGATATTATGATAGAAATTATACTGTGAGATGTGGACACGTGAGAGAATTTCATTCAGAATGTTGCCTCAAGAGATGACCCACGTTTAGAATGTACAGTAAATTACCCTGTTTTGTTTTACAGTGCAAAATCCTATTGCTTTATTTTATGTTGTGTGTGTAATTGTCTGAATAACACAGTTGCCACCTGGGTTAGTAACTGTATTATGGACCAGCCCCTGCGATCGGATACTATACCAGAGTTGCCGACCCTGGGGTGTTACAGACTCTACTGAAAATCTGAAGACTGGGGGAGGGATGAAATTACAGGAGTTTTCCAGAAATTGAGGGTTGCGGGATGAATCTGACATACTGGAGACTCCCGAGAAAAACATAAGTGTTGGCAGGTATGGCCGGAACGGCTGTCTTTGTTTTGGTTCTTTTGACCCGCCCACTGCCAGTTTAGCCAATTATAATTCAGCACCCCGGGTTGCCTTGTTGGTGGAAAACCATGTATGTCATTCAAACAGTCATGAAGGCTCTCAAAGTGTGCATCTGTGACTGAAATGCGACCTCTGGTGGAAAGTAGCAGACTCCGAAATGAGACACAGATTTACAGAAGATGTTATTAATTACCAAATAATATAAATATTACAAACATAAACATTAGATGAGCAGGTTACATTGTAATCATGTGTCATAACAGCATGCTACATGTCGAGATTTGCAGTGATGAGCAGCTTGGCTGATTGCACCAGACAAAAGACGTCAGAAATTTAAATGCAGCCATTCAGAAGCACAGAATATTGCAATATTAGACCTCTTTAACATTATTAAATGCACATGCTGAATCACTGATATGTGTTGGTTTTGAGTCAGAGTTCTAAAGTTAAATTTCAAACATTTTTTTTTTACTTTTTTATTTTCAAGATCTGAGGTGAACTATCTGCTGCTGCTTTTAGTAGTATGCCATGTAAAGTGTCATTCAAACTCACATTGTTAGCATTTAACACTGAATAAAGCACATGAGATGTATCTGAGGTTAACATTGTCAGTTTGTCCTGTTGTTCAGCTGCAAGAAATAGAAGCGGTTTCTAAAATATAAACGTAAGGGTCTGGTTAGAATAAAAACACCTTTTAATATGGAAAATATTACTTCTATGCCATGGTATTGCTTTTATTTAGAACCCGATTTAAATCAGCCTTAAATCAGCCTTTAGGCTCGATAGTCAGGCACACTCCTGTTGGTCCTCAATCTGGCAACCTGCGCTTGCATGTGTTTTGAACCAGGCGTGCAATACCTAACTCAACCACTGGGTGTCAAACTTACAAACCGCACCTTTAATGCTGTATATTGCAGATTTGTAATTTTTTTTTTAGAAAACCAATAAAAAACTTAATTTTAAAAAATAACTTTTTGCTTCCCTTCAAAAATGAATAAAAAAATAAAATTGTACTACAAAAAATAAAATATTTATAATTAAAATGTTAGGAGAGTTTTCGAAATTGGAGTTTATAGTTGCCTTGGGTTGGTTGGCACTTGGCATTTCATGTTTAATCATTTACAATTAAACATTTATACTTCCAATAGCAGTAACATACTACACAGGTCATGAACAAGATTTTTGTCATTTTAACTGTAAGTGGACTAAAGTACTTAATTAATTCTTTAACTAACCCACCAAGAAAAAAGCAAGTAAATGTTTGGATTGCATTTCTTAACTCCTAATGACTCTAGTTAACACACTCAATGTGTTTTTTCAACACATTTCATAATTTCTAAAATATCTACCTCTACCAAATGGTAGATATGTCGGTTTATGATCAATAATACATATACTATGAAAAGTATTCTAACATAAATATAATTGCTCAAATTTGATTCTTATAATAAACCATCTAACTTTGATGGAAACAATGCTGGCAAGACCGCACATGTCTGATGTTGCTTACAGTGGTCCAAGGGACCACTCAGGTAGTGAGCATGAAAAATTAGTGGGAACATTGCATACATGACTGTTTCAAGCCATTACAATACAAGCTACACTGACATCAAATCCCATAGTGAACTGTTCACTGCACAAACCAGCTTTTCACAATAAGATGTTTGGAGAGGCTTTTGAAACGAAGCTTAATTATATTTACTCAGTTTTATCGAGTGTGTAGTGTTTCTTACAGTAGTGGTCAGCTGACTCTTTTCTTACTGTTCAAAGGATTAAAAAGCATCAAGGTTGCCTGCTGCTGTAATCAGGTGTACACACCAGTACAGTAACACTGGCTCAGACTGGATAAATGGCCTTCTGACGAATAATAATTTTAAAGAAAACATGTTTATGCATATCTAAAAAAAACTCATGTTACGGAAGGTTGAATTCTTTTGAAGAGTAGCTACAGTAAAATGGGATGCAATAAAATCTGCAAATTACTGGCATTTAAATGTTTAAGATTTTTTAGATCTTATCAGCTTTTAAAGTGTGTGCGCGCGCGTGTGTGTGTGTGTGTGTGTGTGTGTGTGTGTGTGTGTGTGTGTGTGTGTGTGTGTGTGATAGAGAGAGAGAAAGAGAGAGAGATCATATACTCAAAGGAAAAGGTTGGACTACAATGTTAATTCTATTAAGTTTGGATAACATTTCTTTCAAATAATTAATTTAATTAATTGTCATTTAAAACTTTCTTTGTCTTCATTTGTTTTTATTGAAAATCAGGGGAAACTATTTAGTTTTCCAAATACTGATTTCTTTTGAAGTTAAAACTCATTAGTATTGCTTTGTTTAAACTTTAAACGTTAATATAAACATGTTTGAAAACATGCCAAATTTCATTTTAAATTTGTATGAAATTAATGAGAAGTGGTTTACAGAAAAAAACACACATATATAAACTATATGTGGCGTATACTAATTTTCTGAGAGAGAAAACAACTCATCTAGGAGATGAATTGCATAAAATGTTAAAAGATAATAACTGAAAGCCTGTGTTGGACACAACAGCATAACCTTGAAATGTTTCACTACAATGCTGTAACTCATTCTGCCTATAAATATATACAATAAATAACTAAAACATATATAGAGGCTGTAAAGATTTAGGTTGGGCTGGACACACTGTAAAGCCACACATGAACAAGCATATGGTTTCTTTTTTTTTTTGGGCGCACTTTATGTTAATCCACAATTTACACTATTAACAAACCATTACCTACAACTTTAAGCTCAAGAAACTACTAATTAGCAACTTATTAGTAGTTAGTAAGTATTTTGGTTTAGACATTGGGTAGAATTACTGTTGTAAAGTATTATCATACTTTACATGTGCTAATAAACAGAGAATATCTTAATAATAGGTAATTGATAATAATAATTAATGGTGTAAATTGTTACTTCAACTGAAGTGTTACCATTTAGTTTCAGTTTTTTAAATTAATTATTAATTGAGACTTTGGTGACCACATAGCAAGTAATAAGTTGTCAAATATCAATATATTGATAAATATTGATACTGAAATATTTTAAATGATACAATCTTGCTTTTGGTTAGTATCAATACTGGATTTGCTCTTTCTTTTAACCAGCAGGGATATAAATAATTAATAATAATTATAATTTTTTGCCTTTTGGACTTAACTTATGGTCTTTTGGTCTTATGGCCTGCTGACCTATCTGATATTAGCCTTATGTGGTTTAGTTATTGTTTCCCTTTTTACTTACTTTGCATACTTTTAAAGTTGTGGAATTTGTTCTCCAAAGTATCAAAAATGGAATCGAATTTCGATATTTTTAATGTATTGTATCAAAGTTGGACATTCCAGTGCCAACACCTTATTATGTGGCCTCATGTGGATAAAATACAAGGGATATACAGAATGACTACAATGGTGTTTTTGTATTAAGTGTTAGAGAGATTGGGCAAAGTTCTGCAAAACACAAGCCAGTTTGACTGATGTTCTGTTAAACACGGGAGCATAGATTTGCATGTCTTCTAATAGAATGGCGTCAGTGAGAGATGAATGTTGACAGACCATGAGAACTGCATACCTTATCTCCCAGATCGATCTTGGTGAAGCTGAATGTACTGAGGTGTGCGTTGGATTCTTTGATGGCTGGCTCAATTGTTTCCTTAAACAACTTGTCAACAAACTGACACACGTAAGGCCACATCTGGTTCACCGTCTGAAAAGTAAAGACGGTTTCTGTTCAGCACTTTTTGCGACAGAGGACAAATGAGGCACTTGAGGCATCTTTGATTCCCACTGCTACTGAAACTCATTAGTTAATAGAGCAGTTTAACTGTTGCTTGTTACTGTCATGGCTACATTTGCCTAAAACAAAACAATGACTGTGTTGCTACTTCAGAATTATAAAGTGTTATCTGTATCCCGAGTGAGATACTGAGCTTTATAGGTTTTATTTTTTAAATGCTCAAATCTCCAGACTGCATTTTAAAAAATAGTGCAAAACAAATGTACATACTACAGTGTAAATAAATTATACAGAATATGAATATCTGAGTAACTCAGTTTTACAATTTATAATTACAAAGTAGGGTGACATGGTGGCTCAGTGGCTAGCACTGTCGCCTCACAGCAATTAGGTCACCACTGGTTCAAGTCCAAGCTGGGTCAGTTGGCATTTCTATTTAATTAATAGCATTTTTTTGTGGTTTTCACCTTTTTTTTTTGATAGGACACTAAAGAGTATAGACAGGAAAGCGTGGCGAGAAGAAAAAGGGGAAGGATCGGCATAGGACCTTGAGACAGAAATCGAATTTGGGTTGCCGTAAACACCAGAGTCCCATATGTCGACGCACTAACCCAGGGGTGCCCAAACTTGGTCCTGGAGTGCCGGTGTCCTGCAAAGTTTAGTTCCAACCATAATCAGACACACCTGGGCAAGCTAATCAAGCTCTTACTAGGCTTTCTAGAAACATCCTTGCAGGTGTGTTGAGGCAAGTTAGAGCTTAATTCTGCAGGACACTTGCCCTCTAGGAACGAGTTTGGGCATCCCCATTGAATAATTCCAAAATTATGGAGTACCTTTAAAAATTCAGGGTAAAGGTAGTGGATAACATAGAGGTAAACAACATTCGTATGAACAGGCCTGGAACATGTTGGAACTTGACTAAGTGTAAATTCTCAAAGCATCTGAAAACAATCCCTCCATGAAAACTGTACAGGCATGCTTACTGCCCTGACACAACAGATTTATAAAAACTTGCACATAAGCAAATTAATATTCATGATGTACTGAATTGCGCATATTTGTTTTTATAATTTTTAACATTTATAAGAAATGTAAACATTTAATGAAGTTGTAAAATGTTGGCTAATTTGTATTATACAAAACAATGAGAGTTTTTAACTCTCCCTTGTTGAGTTTAAAACATCAGAGACTCTGCAGTGTTTCATGTAAATAGTTTTGCATGGTTTTGAATGTTGCAGACTTATTTTGCAGAAGCATGAGGCCATTCAGGTACATACATTTCACCACTGGGCAAAATGCCAATGAAATATTCAAATCAGGAAACTTACATGAAGACTGGGAGCCACTGGATGTATAAGTACAATGAATATTTAAAAATGAAAGCAGCTTATTACACAGCTGCATTTTTCCACCCTGAGGGTTTTCATTTTTGACACAGAGGGTGAAAAATGATGGTTATATGTAGCGTAACATGAGCAAGTGCAGTGGATTATATCAGCGGTGCACAACCAATAATACCCCAGAGAGAAAGAGAGAGAGTATCATATTCCAGATTAGTAACTGCAAACACACGTATTGGAGAATGATGGATGAAGACTACCTAGAGATGATGACGGACAGGCAAATGTTAATTCATGATTCGCTCACCTTATTTAGCCACTCAACTCTCTCCACATCTGGATAATGAACCTAGTGAGAAAGCAGACAAATTCATCATATTAAAAGGAAAGAGAGCTTCTGTAAATATACTGCAGTGTGTCTGAGGAATTCCCTCAGGCAAACACACACATACACACACGCCCTTAGTACACAGAGGTCATAAAAAATAAACACAGGTTATGTATTCAAGTGTAAGGTTTATTCTCTCCTTTTCTTTCACTTCAGTGGTGTCATCATGTCTACATGTACAGCAGTGGCATCAGCGTTGAGTGTAGCTGCAGTTGAATCCCAGCGCAAGTAAAATGCTTAGCCTGCATTTGTTTCGTGCAGTGGGAGGGGTGCAGATGACACACTAACCTAGCACTTTTTAAGCATTAAGCTTTAGTATTAATTCTGAGCTCACAATTATTCCACCGAATTATGGCTGTAGGATATTGGAATAATCTGATGTTGGAATAATTTGTAATTCTGCTTTAGATGAGTTTGAATATTTCACCAGATGGCTTAAATAGCTTAATTAGGAAAGAATACAGCACCTTAGATCAGTTGTGGGGATTTGAATGAGTCATATATAATCAAATGTAATTTAAAACATGCATATGATCAAATTCCAGACATAAATAAATACAATAGAGCAAAGATAAAAGTGAAATAACCAGCACTTTGTGGTTTTCTATGTAGTTTAACAGTATTTAGGTGAAGGGGTTGAATAATCAAATATAAAATAACACTGCATTACTCTTCACTGTATAAACAATTACATAAAAATGAATCTTTACTCTAAGTTCTAAGCTACAAACATTATAATTTCCTGCTTTAAAACTCTCTTGAATTCAGACAAAAAGTCAAAGGCCTTAAAACATGTGAATGATATACTTTAACTCTATCATGCTTAAACGCTGCAAACCTCATCTAAACATGTAAACTATAATCTAGACCAGTGATTCTCAAAGTGGGGGATCGGGATCCCCTGGGGGGTCACGGGACAATAAAAAGGGGTTGATTGGTGATTTAAAAAAGATCTTATAAATTTGAATAAACTTTTATGATTACCATTGTTAATCCACACCCTAAAGAGGATAAAAATAGAGCCATAAAAAATACAATATCCAAACAAAAAACCATCAACTTTTCGTTTTTTTTGTTTTGTTGTTGTTGTTTTTCTTTGGATTGCATTTGGATTTGCTTTTTAAAGTAAATTAACGACAGCAATAGCGTCAGTTGCACCAGATTTTACAGCACTAGCTAAACTTTCTGACACCTTTACAGCACGTACGTACATTTAAAATAAATACAGGACACTGAATATGGAGGATTATCTTTAAGTGGCAGTCTCTAAAATTAAACCAAGAAAAGACTTGTGATGTAACTTAAACATTGTGCCCACCCGTCTCATTAGGTGAGGTTAATATTAAATAATAGTAAAAAAATGATATGGTTGTTAGACGGTTGCACTTTTTTGTGTTTTCAATGTGCTGGTGTTTATATAGGCCTATTGGTTTGTGTGAGTGTTGTGTGCAACGTTTGTATGATTATAACCACTTCCGAAAATAGTGGGGGTTGCGAGTCATTGGCATTGTTATTTTGGGGGTCTGGGGCCGAAAAGTTTGAGAACCCCTGACCAGGGGTGTCCAAACTCAGTCCTGAAGGGGCAGTGTCCTGCTGAGTTTGCCTCCAACTTGCTTTAACACACCTGCCAGGAAGTTTCTATATCTAGTAAAAGCTTGATTAGCTGGTTCAGGTATGTTCGATTAGGGTTGGAGCCAAACTCTCCAGGTTTGGACATCCCTGATCTAGACTAAACTGTACGCATCTTGTGATGTGACTACTGTGGATGCGCACACTCTGATAGGAGTGCCGAAATGATATATTGTGCAGCCCTAAAGCTAATGTTGTTCATTTTATAGTTGAAGGATGCAAATTTTGGTTTCTGGCCAAAAGAGGGCAAAGGTCAAAAATATGAGCAGATAAGGATTTGAAAATGTGATCTGTTAAGCATCATACTCAAAAGATACTCATGTATATTGAAAAGGTCTTATAGAAGAAAAAGTCAAACTCAGAAAACTCACTCACTTTCCTTTGGCTTAGTCCCTGCTTTATCAGGGGTTGCTAAATTGGAATGAACCACCAATTACTCTGGCATATGTTTTATGCAGTGGATGCCCTTCCAGCCACAACACACAAAAACCAAACGCTAACTGCATACACATGAGAGTATGAACTGTTGGAAGAGTGTTGTTTTATTGGATTTTGATACCACACGTCATATGTGGGGGGAAAAACTCTGCCTTTTGCGATGCAGGTGTCTGTGGTCCTTCACTGACTTGGTAGGTGCAGAAAAAAAGTGTCAAACAGCCGTATGTGTATAGACTATCCTGTTGCAAATTGCAGCGAAAAGTCCTACATGGCGGTAATAGTTTGATTGCGGTGTTTACATGTCAGTACTGCTCTTCAATAATGCAACTAAAATAGGCATACTCCACATGTCTTTATATGATTTCTGTTTAGATTATGGCCTTAATCAAATTAATTTAATAAAAAAAATCTGTTTTCATGGTAGACTCTTAATCGCATTAAAATCAGATTATTGGTGTCCTTATAAACATCCTCAATGAGTGATTTCAGCACCTTTCCGTCCCCTACTGACTAATATAAAAGCTGTTGTCTAAACTCAAGAGTGACCACAAAAATACCATACAAACAATTTGCAAAACGTCACACAATTAATATAACAATTCAGACTGAAATAACGCTGTCACGTAGCCTATAAGCAACAAAAAATTCTGGTTTTGCCTAAAGCAGGGGTGTCCAAACTCAGTCCTGGTGGGCCAGTGTCCTAAATATTTTAGTTTCAACCCCAAAAAAACACATCTGAACCAGCTAATCAAGCTCTTTCTAGGTATCTTTGATACTTTTAGGCAGGCGTGTTGGAGGAAGTTGGAGCTAAACCATGCAGGACACCAGCCTTCCAGGACTGAGTTTGGACACCCTGGCCAAGAGTTTATCAATAATAGTTGACCAGCATTGCCATTGACCATGTCACACTTTGAGCTAGACTTTTTTGTAGAGATGTAGGGATGGAGGCAAGAGAACAGTGGGATGAAGGGGAAGGGAAGTAAGGGTAAAAAAACAGTGAACAGGTAGATAGGTTGATCGGGCGTCCTATGATGATGCCCAGAGACTGAGAGTTGGGGTACCATCGCTGTAATATTTTGGTAGAGTGATTGGACCCCCGATTCAACCTAGGAGAGAAGAGAGGGTTATAGGAGGATTATAAATGGGAAGCATGGAAATGGGAGGGTGAGTTCAAGAGAACTAGAAGAAAAGTGCTAGAGGCTGGTCTGCCTTAAATAAGTTTTCAGGGAGAGCCCAGGGAGTTTTCGGGGAGAACCAATCACCTAAAACCAAAAAGTTTTAGATAATTGTTTAAGAAGACATAGTGAAGCATCTGCCGCAGAACCTTTGGTAACAAGTTAACTCCATGGATTGCATTCTGAGGAAATATCAAAAATATAACATTTCAAAAGAATAATTTACTAACCACACACACATTACACTACATTTGAAACAAGTGCATCAAATGCATAGGCCATATTTGAATCTCACCACCGTGAAGATGCAACTGCAAAACCATAAATGTTTCTCTCCAAGACACTACTTAAAAGGTGAAAGGAAAATCCCAGCAGGTAAGCCACATCAGTTAACCTATGGGCACACTGCGCCTCAGTCAGTGAGAAGACACTGCGGTTTTGGCACCTATAAGACTAGCCTCTTTCTTTGTCCTATAAAAGTAGCATCTTAACTGTGATCTCAAGGGACAAGCTGAGTGTGTGGCTTCCTTCTGCAGTGCACTCACTCTGAATTTATTTTCATCCCCAAACAGTGTTGGTGTAGCTTAGAGCGGAGAATTGTATATGACAGCACAGCACATTCTTCAGCAAGCTGTCCTACTGACATATTCATATCACTTCAGCATAACCATCAGTCGGGACATAAATCACCGGATGCAGAAAGAGCTACTTAGACCAACAAGCTGGACTTCTGAGTCTCTCTCAATGTATGAATATTGAATTTTTTGTTTAGTATTAATGAAATGTGGAAAAGTCACTGAAAGTTCCCATGGTAACCGTGTTTCTATGGTCACTAGAGATCTCTGAAGATCTCTGCTCACTGAATATAGACCGCAGACAGATAGAGATCTATGGAAATGTTGCTATAAAACTGTAGAGAGAGACTGCATAGTTGTTTTGAGCAATACCTTAAAGTAGTGCTGGGCTGATAAATGATATTATAGTGAACCGTGATACAATTTATGTCAATAACAATGACAAGCTCTGGACTTTTACTCTATATTGATCTAAGAGACAAACACACAGCAGAAATTTACAATGAGAATCTATTTTTTTATTTATATTATGCCATTTAATGGACCCTCTAATTTTTGTGGCTTCAGTGATTGTTGGGATACTCTTTTAAATCTGGAAGCATTAACAACTTATATATAGAAATATAGTTAAAATCTGAATTATTAGCCCCTCTCTTTATTTTTCCCCAATTTCTGTTTAATAGAGAGAAGATTTTTTCAACACATTTCTAAATGTAATAGTTTTAATAACTCTTCTCTAATAACTGATTTATTTAATTTATGCTTTTAAATGTTGTTAGATGTGAAAACTGCAAGAAGATTTACTTGAAACTCTGTAACACACTTAACTATTGCAGTAAGCCTGAAGGCCATACTTTGGCATGAGATGTTTTATTGTTTACTTCATACAAACGCGTGTCTGATTAAATCAATCAATCGACTTCCAGAGAACCAGCATATGAATTGTGTAAATTTATCTTCTTCCAGCATAGCCTGTTTCCTGAGAACCAGAGAGAGAAACTAGCAAGAATGTCACCAGATCCTTCTTGGTGTAAGATAATGGAGTATAACATGTCTGGCTATTAAAAAGCACTGTTTTAAAACTCTCTGTAAAGAGAGAGAGAGACAGCGAGAGCAAGACTTCAAACTCATCAACATAAACCAGTTTAACAGACTTCTGATCTCCTAGGGGCAAGTTGCCTCATGCCACAATGTCATTTGATTAAGTTTGCAGAGTACTTGGTATGTATATATATATATATAATATTATTATTATTATTATTGTATTGTTTTACCACAGAGGACTGCCTTGAACTGTGAGATTCTACCTACAAGCCAGAAATGACAGCGGCATTTTTCTACTCAAGGCTCCAGTGGGCATCTCATCTCACTATCATTCATCGTTTCTGAATTCCGGCAATTTTCTTTTTCAATAATTCATCTACCTCTAATATTTCCATGGCTTTTCTGAGCCCAGCACAGCATGGGCATGTTTTTACACAAGAGTATAAAAATCAATCAGGTAAATTTGAAAATAAAAACAATGGCAGCAAGAAACATGATCATGTTTCTATTGTTAATAAGATGAAATGTTGGTGCCTGCATACTTCTGCAACCTATTACCGCATATTTTAAGTAATATAATGTTAACATTACTTTTGTAGAAGAACCAATGATAAAAAATCAGATAAAAACAGAAGACAAAACTTTTTTTAAAATGATATAATATTTTAAGTGTTTGTAATTGTAAAATATAAGGCATATTGATAGTTTTGAACAGTAATAAATAAATAAAATGTGAAACTATTTACAGACCTTGAAGAAGAGAGTAGTTAATTACGAATCGCCACACAGATTTTCCTGTAAATGGTAAAAACATGTTCTGACAGTGCACAGACTGCAGGGCATCCTCATTTGCAACTTTACAGAGTGACCTTGGCTCTCACCATTCAGGTTGAAATATCTCATTACACAACATAAATTCACTTTGCTGCACTTGGCTTTAAATGAGGAGCCAGAGGCTCAAGGCAATGCTTACAAGGGACAAAAATAGAGTCAAATCTGGTTGAGACAAGGCTTATGACAATGTCTTACAACTCAAATTTATTATTTATCAAAAAGAAATTAAAATTAGTTATTCTTTGTTTTATTAGTTATTACTTAAAGGTATTTCACATATTATACATTTTAGGCCTTAAAAAGTATTAAGATCATCTATAATTAAATAAAAGCTTTTGTGATTTCATTGTGAGTTTAGGTATATTAACCAAGTAGTGACAATGGTCATGTTTGAATTATTAAGCTAACCAATTAAGTCTCCAAGCATCTAAAGCTGTTATAAATATCATTGCAAATAAAATGTGATTATTCTTTTAAACAGCACTCTAAAATATAAGAATTTATGAATATTTTGAAGTAGTCACAATTTCAATATTGTGCATGATCATCATCACGATATACTGAAATACTAAATATCACCATGTGTTTAGTTGAGACAAAAGTTGCATCCTCTAACAAAACACTCTTCACCTTCACTGACAAAAGGTCAAAATGTCTCGCCTGACAGCCCAGGATCAGCAGGGGATCCAAACTTAGTTGAGCTTCAAGCCTTTAGAATGGATGCAGCATTTAAAAAGCAAGTAACACAGTCTGCTGTAGCAAGCCTGGGTGAAGCACAACTCTTTTAACTGTAATTCACTGTTTATCTGTTATTGCAAATAGTTCCTTGGACTGACTGAATGACATCCTTTTAACTTTAAGCCTAAAACATTACCACTCTCAATAGCCTAAACAAATCATACTGAAAGCTGTCATAACATCTTCCACTGACAATAAACCTTTCAAAGAGAGCCCAGTCTATTTTTATTCTACACATGTAATGATGGAAGGCTTTACAGCATCTACAGATATAAACTCCCTGTCAATTTCCCCTCTGTGCTTGTGTGCAGTCTATGATGTTTTGACAGCCAATGAAGATTTCAACTCACCCATGATGGTAACTCAGTGGCATCCAGCTCCTGTTTAACAGCGTCGTCCGGATCAAAAATGGACATCGCTCTGCTTAGCCTGGTGTTCTTAGAATTGGTGTTTCTTTTCCAAAAGAAAAATATCGTAAGTGCGATTAAAAGCCAGCTGAAGCTGAACTCGAAATACCCCAAGACATATATGGGGAAGATAACGACGAAAGTCTTGGCGAACTGTAGCCACGTGCGGGTCAGCTCGCTGCTGCAGGACAGGGGCTCCTCGCTGAGCTCCACCGGGGAAGACGAGCACGGAATCGCCCCGTTAGTCGGCTCAGCTTGTCCGTTATCCTTCTGTCCCGAGGCGACTGCTGTTTGGGAAAGGTTTCCGCGCACAGCCGTCATAACGTCCTCTGTCATATTCAGCATAAGATGAGATGTTACGTGCGGCTGTCAAACATGAACATTGTGCTGCGGGTTAAAAAGAGTAAACACCTACTTCAGAAAATCCCATGCACGCGGTACAAGTCCATATATCAATTTCACGTTAGTTCGTCTGTACACCAGTCCATTTTGACGCGAATGGTGTCCCGCTTTGCTTTAATTGTGGGATCGTGTCTGGCTGCTGTGTGGAGACGGAGATCAGCTGTCGCCTCGTCGGGTTTGCTGTGCTCTGGAGAAGCGCGTGCTGTTGTGTTGCTTTATGACAGACAGCTGAGAGCTTCACACACACACACGCTCACAGCTGCTCTCCTCTCTCGAGAGGTCAGTGCCACCCTCAGCCAAGTAACCGCACATACACAAACACTGTGAGGCTTTAAACAACAGTAAGGTGAAGAAGGTTTTTTTTGTATCGAACGGTCAGGTTGAGTGCGTGCCTGTTTTATCTGTGTCGTCTTTCTCTTTATCGTTCGTTCAGCTCAGTGTCTTAGGGGCCGCAAGGTAGTAGCGGACCCTCGGAAAAGTAGTAGCCTGCCAAAATAATTCAAGTAATAGGCATGGGCCGGTATGATTCTGACGTTATGATAACCTAAAAATTGCACAGTATTGTGATTACTGCTCTAAAATAAATTATTTTAAATGTCTGGGTAGAAACATCAAATTTTTCCTCATATTGCAGTAATTATTTTTTGAAGTCATTTGTTATTTTTTAAAGAAATGTTTTGTTAAAATAAAAAGAGCATGTAAACAAC